CTCTTTTTCTGCCTGCTTCTGCGTGTAGGCTGCAGCTGCGGCTGCCTCCCTGCACCCTGCATCCCAATGAGCTGTTGGTCACTCTGCTCTAGAGGAGACTGGCCTTTCTGATGCTGGGACGCCCGTATTGGGCAGAGATCACCCCTCAATAATGTACTATATATATTAGTAAACACTTCCACTCGTTAATCAGCTACTTAACTCAACACTAACTCAATAGGGTCCTTGAAAGTCTGGTTGGAGCCGCAACTTTGTTAAGACTTCCGACTTCCCTGCTCTTTTTATTCACTCTTCATTCACAGCTGGACTTAAGCTCCAGCCGCCGGCTCCTGAGCAGTAGCACCAACAAACTGTGGGGAACCCTGGCCTCCATCACGTCCTCTCATCCTTCTTCAATGTGCTGCTGTTGCTATCCCAGCAGGAAGAAAAGCAGGAGAGCAGGGGGGTGCGATGGAGCCTGCCCCTCTTTCTCACGCTAGTAAAAAGCCTTCACTTCTTCTCTGGGGTGAGTGACACCTGCTGATTACCATAGAGACACTGTGGGAAGTTCCCCCTGCCACAGGACAGAGATTTGCCCCTCGCTCTGGGCAAACAAGTAGTCCATGGATTAGCCAACTGCATTAGTGTGTGGCAAACAAATCAAAACACAGTATTTAGAGCATGTTAGATCTTTCAATGAGTAGTATAGGAGGATCATTCAAAATGTCAGTGTAAAGAAGAAGAGTATGCCCATGAGTGCATAATGCAGATGTTTTAACATTTAAACAATGTCAAACATCATCTGAAAACTATTTGAAATATGTCTCACAATGTCAGCTGCAGGATGTAATGCATATCGAAGTCTCGAGCCTACTCAGGAGCAGACAGCTGAGCATCCCCTTTATCTGCTCCCCCTGAACTGGACAGAGGTAACAGTGTGATTGATGCTAGTCACTGGGAGCTTTTCGCCAGACCACAGCCGCTTCCGCCATGTGCCTGATTTGTCAGCAGTGCTTTCAGCCAGGCAACTGGGAGCTGTATTTAAAGGAGGGAGCACTGTGGAGGAGAGGCCTGGGTGGAGCATGTGTTCCTTAACAATGAAATCAACAAGGAGAAGGTGATGCAGACAATGCACTTTTGAAGTGGTAGTAAGTCAGATGTGAAAATGATGATAGTAAGTTGGATGTGAAAACACGATAAGAGACACTTGCAGTGAGCAGGCGGACTCTGCACACCAAAGCAAGCACACAGCAGGAGAGAGCAGCCTCCTGCTCCTGCCACCACACCAACCGGCCCGGCTGCCGACAGCTGCATTGCACTCATTTACTTCTCTCCAGCACATTTAGCACGAGGACTGCATCCTATTACCAAGAGCAGGGGGTCGAGGCTGAGGGCCAGACTCTCAGCCAGAGCACTGGCCTCCCAAGGTGAGACCCTCTGCTGCTGGACCCTGCCTACAGGGGCCCAGGCCCTGAGCACTCTGCCATGTCTGCCATGTCACGGACAAGACTCAGTAACTGCAAGAGAACTGCATTATGTACTTTCCAATTTATCATTACAAAACTCTAGTAATTACATTTCAATACAGTTGGTACGCTCAAAAGGGTGGTAACATTTTGTATCAAAATAAGGCTTTGTGACTTTACTACTGTTAATGTACAAGTGCTTGTGCTAAAATAATTCCATGAATACAGTAATTCAGTCACATATACACTATATACACTACATTTCTAAAGTTAAGATCAACTTAGTCAGACCACAGCATCACTTAGCAGCATCACTTGAGCAGCATACACCCAGTGTTTCCCAGTGAGAGGTACAGGGACATCTGGCCCAGGGGTCCATAAACTGGTGTTTGGGGACCCCTGACAAAAATCTAAAATGTAAGAATTTAAATAAACTACTAAGTTCTCCTTCTTTCTTTAGATAATGTATAAAGAGTAAACACTATACAGGGATAGAAACAAGAAAATATAATTGTTGTGACAAAATCAATAATTTCTATTATAAAAATTACACTGTCTCAATTATTCTCAACTATTAAGAATACATGCATCATGTGAAACTGTAGAGCACAGAGAGTGCGGTAAAAATTTTGCCGTTTATTTCATCTGAAGATTACGGAGTACGCGTTTGTAATTAAGAACAAAAATATAATTACAATTAGTAGATTACTTTAGTCTAAAAGCATAATATAATAAGAATGCATTTAAAAAAAACAATTGATTACTTGATTACTGAACTAATCGATAGCTGCAGCCGTAATTGTATATTACCAATAACTAATAAACATATTTCACTAAATAAAAAAACAGATTTAGAGGGTATATTCTACTACGCAGAAAAGGTTGGGAGCTGCTGGCATGGACTCTCCTGGACCACCAACACTCTGTCTCTCCGGGTGTCCTTCAGCACATGACTGCTGCAGGAGCCAATCAGCTGATGAGTTACAAAGCCAACCACGAGAGGCTCTGCTGAGGCGGCGGAGGCCGACAGGGTCACTGAACAATGTTCTGGGAACATCACAAAGACAGTACACACTTCTGTGTCTCCCTCTTATTCTTTGCCTGTCTCTTTGCATTTCCCTTGCTATCTGTACTGGTGTTTAAACCACTTGCCCCTCCTCTCACAGGCTGGAGCCAGCTGAGCGTGCTACCAATTCCAACAGTTGTTGTGGCCTTCGTTAGCCTAACGAGGGGGCTGGCTCTTTATACTTGTCAAGGAGCAAATGACTCAAACAAACAGAGGCCAGAGATGAGGGGAGGACAAGCGAGCGCTGTTCTGTTGAGCTTCACTGGGTTCTTGGCTGCAGCAAACACATCCCTGTCTGCCTGGAAACTAGGAACCCACAATCTGGCTCTTTGATGTCAGATGATGCTCTGGCTTGAAGAAAACTTTGAAAAAACACCCAAAAGAAATGGCATGCTTCTGGGTCTGTGAGGCCACTAGAGGCGCAGGACTATTTGAAGTGTGTGGGTGTACAAGGCGAAGGACCTAAAAAGGGAGAGACACTGATTGGTACACATAACAACTGGTTGTGAAAGAAACAACAGAGTTAGCGTGGTCTTGGGAGGCTGTACTGATGTGGTCTGGACAGAAGGCACAGGGCAGTGTCCAAGGGGCAGGGAATGTGTAAACATAGTGTATAGGCCTGCCCATCCGAACCTGCATAATCAAGAATTAAATGTCCTTCATAAACCGATAAAGAAACCCCTCCAAGGCGGACCAGGCACTGCAGAGTGAAAGTCTGAAGGTGTGTCCTTCAGAATGAGCTCATGTCAGTGTCTGGGACACACAGCGCTCTTCAAGGCTGAGAATCTGCAGCTCTAATGACAGGGTGCTACATAACTGCACACTCTTGTTTTCTTACAGGCACAGGATTGAAAGAGCCATGCACAACCAAATCAATCAGTAACATATGATAATACTTGCAAAAACATGCGGCTGTAGGTGAAAAGTGAAATCTAGCTTCAATGCCACTCGGGTCTTTGTCAGTAGCAGTGGTAGCGACAGTGCAGAACTTGGGGATCCATCTCCAGACGCTGATGCTTGGCTGGGTCAGGTATATATCCGCTTGAGGATTTTACCTATAGTGTCTGCACTCATAACCATGTCAGTGTTGGGCAATAAAATAATAAATAAAATCAATATAACCAGATTAAAATGTCTAATAAAAACAATCCTCCACTTCAACATTGTGATTTCTTAATACAAGTTTACTTTGGTTTATGACCACAAAAATGGCCCTCCCTTTGCTTCTTTTTGCTTTAGGGAATAATAATATATGAATGAGTCAAATACTTTTTATCAATTCATAACTGCTGTTAAAAGCAGAAAACAGAATTTCTTATCTCATGTAGGAGGAGCAATCATGGACACTACAAAACAATTAAATTAGTATTTTGGAGCACACATGGGAGTAATGAGGATGCAGCACTTGGAGCTGGTCATTATTATGCCCACTAAGTGATGTGAGTCACTTGGTTGGCGCCACCACACAAAACGCAGTAGTGAAGGTGCACCCAGGGCTTATCCAGGCAGAGCAGGGGGTAGCCCTTTGGATAGACAGCTGGACACCGTCACTGGAGTGGCCCAGACCCTGGGCCACTCCAGTGACGAGACCCGGGAATGATCCTGTGGCAGAGGAAAAGGCAGCATACGCCCTCCCATCAGACTGTGCGGACACTCCAGACGACACAGATCTAAAGGCCCATGGTTTCTGAGCAACAACTATGGATGTCAGGGCTGTCCAAGTGTGTGTGTGTGTTTTATTAACATATATACATATATAACAAAAAAATAAAGCGCTGGGGACGACTTGGATTGTGTGTGTGTGTGTGTGTGTGTGTTTTTTTTTGTTTTTCAAAATTCACAAATTCAAACTAGCACCTGAGCTTGACCGTTCTCTATGAACAGCAGCATGTTCTGAGAGCTCACAAACATTTCATGCTGCTCCCGACACTAGAGTTTCCACTCTTCCAGAAAGGCCAGCTTCCCCGACACAAAACTCTAGGAACCGTTTTGGTCCCTTTTGGCATCTGTGCCGTGTGCAGGGGCCGAGTGAGGCTGCAGCAGTTTGAAGGCACACATAAAGCTGCTAAAAGCCAGCAGGTATGTAAGGAATGCTTTTCTGTCCAAACAAGAGGCTCACGCCCGACACCGGTGCACCACGCCGTACAACTGTGCAGAAGGAGGCCCCTTTAGGACTGTGCATCTGGAGCCTGTCAAATGTTTCTCTTATGTACAGTATGTGTGGGTGGGTGACATGATAAAACAAGTTACTGAAAACAATTAATTCAAACTATATACAAAACATGAATTATACTCCAATCAAAATGTATAAACATTAACACCATCAATCTGACCGCCATTATACAGAAAGTCTACTTTTATTTCTCTCACATACTTTTATTTTATATAGATATGAAGACATATTCACATGATGTAACCATCTTTGAAACAGTGATCTGTTTTACTAAGAATTCTGTGGACATATTTTTATTTTTTGAGAAAAAAGTTACCTCTTTTAAGGAGCCACCCCTCCTTGACGATCACCACATTGGTCATGTTGGTGGGCAGAGTTGAGGATCCAGGATTCCCGCTGATAGAGACACACTTTTGATTTCCAGGGTTTCTTCAATGCCCTTTGGTGGAGCCAAGGCTGTACAGAATCTGGGTCAGTAATGTTACCTGTAAGAACAGTAGAATTTGGTATGAGCATGAATCTCAGGGAGGCTTTAAATATGTGCAATTGCTGGCTCTCTATGATTGCTTTTGATCCAAAAAGGCTCTCCAAAACAGATTACTTCCCTTTAGTTGACAAAGACAAATGTTGTAAATCCGTTGTAAAATGGACCATCCTTTGAGGTCATAATGTACTCAATAGAAATATCTATGAGACGACAAAAAAGAGAAGGCATATGTGGCATTTATGTGCATTGCAAGTCATCTGACTTACACAAAATGGACTGTAACTTCTTAGAAGAGCCTGCTATTCAGTAATAGACGTCCACCGACTAAAACCTGCAGGCAATAATAACCCAAACACTAAACCTTTTCATCCATTCACCACTTCATTAGGAAGACAGCTTTGAATTCACAAGCAAAGGAATGATCAAATCTGATCCTTGTTCACATAAATGTCACTTATGGCAGTGGGAAACCCCTGCCTGTTGGCTAAAATCATGTAGCCTGCATGAGCCCCAGAGTGAAAAGGAGTAGGTCTATTGCCTCTTCCAGTCTGGCAAGGGGAACAACAGGAAGAGGATTGGGCAATTGACGGCTCATAGGTCCTATCACCGGGCTCCAGGCACAAGTACACATCACATGTCATGTATTGCATTATATATCACTTTCCCCAACACTTTGTTTATAGTCAAGTGTATTTTTACAGTGTATGTGTCATACTTAGTCTGATGATGAAAAAACATGTCAAAGGGACTTAAAGATCATACAAACAGTAGGAGACCGCTGGCATTTTGGGTGTCCTCACAAACACGGGAATAGAGACATAAATACACACTATACACGCTGGACACAAACAAACTGAGCGCCGCATGCAGCGCGGCTCACCAGCCACAACAGAGATCTGCTGTTTTAATGGCAGAAACCTGTTGCCACTGCGGCCTGTGTGGAAGAGCTGGGCTGCTGCCAGTGCTGCAGCCACTGAATGAACCCAGTACCCCGACAGTGGGTCACATGGTCCGACTGCCCAGCCCACTGTCACTGCCACTTCAATCATCCATCTCTCTGCTGCTGTGAGGCCAGCTCATTCAATGCAAATCAGTGTCATGCAGAAAAGATGCCACACACTGAGTTTATCACCAAGCCAAAGCCATGTGTTTACAGCAGACTGCAGCATGAGATCTCAAGCGACATCACCAACCACTTCCACCATCTCAGATTGATATAGATAGCTCTATAGATAGCTCCTACCAGATTAGTCAGTCGCACACTATATTATAGTAACCTCAGGCCATATTCAAATTACTCATCTACTGTAGAATCACTTTAACAATTTTTTTGTTAAATGTCACCATGGCACTAGTATCTACAAAACTATGCCAAGTTCCTCTTTCAAGTTCCCTCTAAACACTTCACTAATGATAAGAATTCTGCTCAGATCTGTAGCAACAAGTGTAGCCTTGAAAGTTGAACTGCAATGACTCACCATAAACATCACACAATTTAGGTTTGATGTTCGTAAACAAATGCACTACGTAAATTGTAGAAACAATTTTCAATCTTCAAGAGAAAGTTGACATTAATCCACAATGTAATGTATGGTTATTGCAGTTTCTGTGTTACGTGATGCTAAGTTAACCTTTGAAATACATCCTTCTCTGCAACATTGACAACACGAACAGGCACAAAAACTCTTGTGTAGAGGCACAGATTTTCAACCAACATTCCTCAGATTCTGCACGTAACTGGTGGCACATTTGCGTCAATGGGTCTGTGGGGGGATTGGGTAGAAGGTGGTGGTTTCTAAATAGAACAAGGAGAACAAGCGAGTCATTACGCCAATCTGTTGAGTCTTCTCTGGATCACATGCCAAGTCACCCTGCATTGACACAGTAGACAAAAGTACACTCATGAAACTCAAAACGCGTTAACACAAAAAGTCATTAAAATACAACAATCCTGAATTCAATACAATACAATGAATGTGTGCATGAGCTTCTTTAGCAATAACAAGAGGCTCAATTCTAGCTTTACAATTGCCACAATCATTACACATATGATTCAACCCGAATCTATCAAACATAATGTTATTATTGATAATATGGTGCAGTCAAATGTTTTGAGTGAAGGCAAAACAAAAAGTGTAGAGATATATTTGTGTGTGAATATGAAAACAAGATGCTATAACCTAGTGGGGGCTATCAGTACTCAGGCATAACGTAGCCATAAAAGCAAGCAGGTAAACAAAGACTGTAAGACCCATAACAATGAATGAGGTGTTTGTGGAGATCTCTTGTTTTCGTTTGGCCGCTGGTCATCATAACAGCACAAAGATATGTTTCCAGCAGAGGTGAGCTATTTGCACAACCACGACTGCAGATATTTTGGTCATCAGAGCTGTGGGCTGAGTCTCCAAACTGCTCATTGTCAAAAATGAATGGTTAACATGCTGAAGAGTCGAAGCCACAATTGTTTACAAAAAGCCTACTATGTCTATATACGCGCCAGGCTTTGTTACGTACTTCTTCCAATGCATCCGTGTCTGCTCTACGTAGTAACTTTAGTGTCAAGTTCGGAAAGTATGTCAGGTTTTGCATTTAGCAGCACAAAGCAGTCTGGGGCCTAGCATAGCAGGGCAGCTCGGGTGAGAATAGCGGCATCCCATGTTATTAAGTACAATGGGGACCTACCCTGTCTTAGCTGTCGACCTCTCCAGTTTGCGAAAGGAAATGCGGGCGTTTACCTTGGACAGATCTGTCAACAACGTGTCCGTCTCATTATTAGTGAGTTGTTTCGGCGGTGTTTTACGTAGTCCTTCAACAATCTGGACAAAAGTGGTCTCATTTAACTCCGTTTCTCTCTTGCCTTTCTTCCACTACACCTCCCAAACGCTGTCTGCAATGCCTCTGTGGCGACGCGCCTCTCCCGGGTCCTAGTGCCGACCTGCCTCACGTCAATGCGCAAGGGCCCATTGAAAAAAAAACACGCGCACACACAAATCTAGCGGTGTGTATGTAGAGTACAGTGGGGCTATTCCTGCATGGCCTCGCTGAACCCAGGGCTGTTTTATCTGTACTGGTGGTTTCCATAAAGGGGGCTGAGGGACCCCGAGAGCCCACCGTTAAGTGTGCAAGAGCAACATCTGGTCCAAATGGAACTCGGTAATGATGTCTGCACACAAATTCCTGGAATATTGATGCAGGCCTGAAACTGAGGTGCCTTAGTTTTTTTTGTTTCTTTTCATGAATAATACAAATAAAAGAGTCATCAAGAAAAACCAGCCACAGTGGGGCGGCTGCGGCTGTAAAGTGCCAAACTGCTGTTGTGTCCTTAGGCAAGACACTTCACCTCCATTGCCTAGAATGAGTCTGGTGTGTGTATGAATGGTTGGTGGTGGTCGGAGGGGCCGATGGCGCATACTGGTTGCCTCGCTTCTGTCAGTGTGCCCCAGGGCAGCTGTGGCTACAGTAGTAGTTTATCACCACTATGTATGGAGTGAATGAATAATGACACATGTGAAGCGTCTTTGAGTGTCCAGAAAAGCGCTATATAAAACCGATGCATTATTATTATTATTATTAAAAAAGGTGTGAATAATATTTGAATATCTTGCGTGTGATAACTAAGAATACTTGAAGATTGGGCTGAGAGCTGATGTGAAAACGAATAGTAGAATAGAATCAAACTGTTCTGCGAGAGAGCATGGATGTTATTATATAGATCATTATGTGTGGTTTGAAAAGTGAAGTACCCCTGCCTTACAGTCAAACATATGCAGTCTATGCTTATATGACAATCAAAGAAAACTAATGTATTATCAAATTCATACAGTTCATACATTGTAAGTATTTTTAGATGAAATATTCTACAAAATGGCATTAAGGCAATAGTCACAGAACATTAAAAAGAAAGATAAAAATATAAAATCCCTCAGTTGTATGCACAGCTAAACAGAACTGTCTTTAACCTGGTTTTAAACATTGTCAGCGAGGAGTTGGAGTTAAACAAGAAGTTGGAGACATGATGTATTCTTCTAAATTAAAGAAATTAAAGATGGATAAGTGGAATGCATATTCATTGCTTCTTTAGAAAATGCTGGGAAACTCTCCAGAAACCTATGAATTCCTTAGATTTTTTTTTACGATCCACAGATGCATACATTTGTTGTTTAATGGGTTGTTACTGTGGCCTTTGGTAATGGTTTTCTGTGTATTATGAAAGAGAAAAAGTAGACACTGCTACTTCACAAGTGGCTTGTAGCCCCTGGGGAAATAATATTTTTTAAATGTATTTTTTTCTACTTTCTAACAGGTGAGTGTTGTCCAGGATGCATGGGTCACTGCTGATGTCCAATCCTCCTTTGTCAGCACACAGTGGTAAGTTGATTTATGTAGATATATTTTATGGGGACATCTAATTGTAAAACATTACCATGGTCTGCTGATGCTGCTTTTTATACAACACGATGAGCTTTGTAAGGCACATTTGCTTAAGGGTAACTTTTTTATATCCTGGATGCCTTTGTAAATTCCCATGTGGTATCAAAAGATCCACGTGGTAACATTAGAGGACTGTGGAAAGTCTAATGAATGGAAACATAAGCTCCTCTGGGGATCATTACAAATCATTGTTAATTTGCGTATTCTTCCATTGATGATCAACATTCAAAAGTACAAAAGCTGGAGAGGCAGGAGTTAAACCAGTTGTGGGGCAAGTATGGACAGGCCAGGGAGCTTGTTAAAAAGAGTCAGCCACCGTCAGTATCAAAAGAATCACAGCCTTTTTATAATGCAGTAAACACCCAGTCTTAGCATATAGCAGAAACATAACAAGTGAAAAATAGACTGCATTTCATTTCTGCATTCATTTCAACTGGCATTTAA